AGTCATTGTCATTGTATGTATTTGTACATATAAATGTGTATGCCAGCATGTATGTGTGCGTGTGTGTTTGTTTGTTTGTCTGTTTGTGTATATATATATATATGTGTGTGTGTGTGTATATATCTATATATGTGTATATATATATATATATATATGTAAATAGATGAATAGATAGATAGATAGATATAGGTACATGCGTACCTGTGTGTGTTTTTTTGTCTGTGTCAGTGTCTCTTTTTGTACATGTATGTGTGTAAGTATGTATGTATGTACATATATATATATATTGTGTGTTTGTATATATATATATATATGTGTGTGTGTGCGTGTATACATATTTATGTGTGTGTGTGGACAGATATGTGGATATATATATATATATATATATATGCATTTCTGTATTGTTTTATTGTTAAACAATTGTATTGTTACTGTATATTTATATATCTACACTGCAATGCTGTTATGTGATCATATTGTTATATTTTTATATATTGCTATAAACTGTATATTCTTATATATTGCTATATATATATATTCTGTTGTGATGTATTGTTATATATAAGTATTTTTGTATTTTGTTATATATATATATATGCCGTGTGTGTGAGTGTCTGTCTGTGTATTAATCAGTGTATGTGAGAGAAAATGAGTTTTTGTATGATAACGGATCTATATATATATATTCCTAAATATCCTATATATACGTATGTATTATATATATATTCCTATATTTATGTATGTGAGTATATATATATATATGTGTGTGTGTATCTGTGTTTGTGCTCCGTGTCTTTTTCTGTGTCTGTGTCTTTCTATTTACATGCTTCTGTGTGTCTGTGTGATAGGCACTCGAAAACATTATATAAATATATATATAAACGTGAGTGTGTGCGTGTGTGTACGTGTGCGTGTGTATCTGTGTTTTTGCTCGTGTCTGTGTTGTTGATCGTGTCTGTGTACATGTGCGTGTGTGTCTGTGATAGGCACACGAACTCGTTATTTATATATATATATATATATATATACGTATATGTATATGTATGTATATATATATGTTTGTATGTATATATATATGTTTGTATGTATATATATATATATATATTTATGGGTGTGTGTCCTAAAACAAGGTTGTTAAAGATTTATAAAATTGGCCTTTGTATTTGACCGCGCCCATTGACTATTATTTATCATTTGTGGAGATTATCACACGTAATGTCTATTACTGTATATATTGTTTTCAATCTAAGAACATCCAAGAGGCTGGGATACCTCTCGTTCCTTTATCACTTGGTAATATACTTCTCGCACCAGCTTCGCCCACTTATCTAATGAAAGCGTATCGTCGCGACAACAAAACTTGATGTACAATATATCGGCCAGAGCTGGTATCAAATTTGTATGGCTCTTTGGATTTGTTCCTAGCAAACCCCGTCCGACCTTCATGTTAAGTACTATCGCGCGCACAGCATCCAGGCGGTCGGCTATCACTTGGCTTCGCAGCATAGACTGCCATTCTAAATCATCATTTATCCCTGTTTCATCGAGTTTTTTCGTCATACCATATGCCCTGTCATTTACGTGCAAACCCTTGACCAAATCTTTACGGCTACATGGAGGTTTGAGCAGGTACTTCTTAAATTCTCTTTCCTCATCTACGTTTGTCCCTTTTGAGCGTACAACTCGTGAGGGGCGCTCACACCCCGTTATTTTCGACACTGTGATTACCTTGGTAATTTGCGGTCGTAGTATACTTGAGCGGCTATCTCGCCTAGTCTTTCCCCGCAAAGGGACGTTGACTGCAGGCGCAGTAGGCACAGCCACGGATGGCATATCTATAGTAGGCAGTGAAGTGTCGGGGGCGACAACTGTAGACGATAGAGCCGGCAATGGCAATAGCAGCGGCAATGGTAATAGCAGCGGCAATGTATATATCATATAGTCGGGGACAGCGTGCTGTATGGGCATTATATCCATCGGTGACGCCAGAACCGAGTCAATGTTCCAATCCAACGGGAAGCTGGGTTCAATCTCTTCATGGCGAGACACGTTGGGAGCCTCATCTTCCATCCTTACAGTATCACCGCACTCAGAGTGATGAAGGTCGTTGGAAACTGAGACCTTTCGTTCAACTTTATCAGTATGATATCTCGGGTTAGATTTGTCTGATGGTACAATACCGCGGTGGGAGAAGCGTTGTTGTATACAGTCCCTATTCATCATGAGCATCGTCTCTAATTGATATTTGTATACCTTCATATAAGCGAGCTCTTCTGCATTCGATTCTACCAGGAGAAAAAAGTCGACAGCTGTATTCTCCGTATACCTAGCAAGCCTTGAGCGTTGAACGTCAAGCATCGCCATTTCCTCGAATATGCTCCTCGCCACCATGGTGAGCGAGTACAAAATAGGATCGGTGCTCTTTTCGTGATTGCAAATTTCAGCGGCATTCATCGTGAAACGGGATTTTGAAATTACTGAAATATTTTCTCTTCAGTAGTGAGGTTTTGTAAGTTGAAAAGCAAAGCGAGGTTGCGAGTCTGCAGATCTCTGGGCGCCCGTCCGCCTCCGTATGTTCTCATCAGCATACGCTTTCTGTAGCCTTCTAAATAAATATCTAAATACCTTCAGATATATTCCCTTACTCCCTGACGGCCTACATTGGCATGACATTTTTGGCGTGTATATTGTGTAGATATGGATACCGCGTGCTGATTGAAAGGGTTTTAGCCGAATAAAATTTTAAAGAATAAAATATATCCAATTGTTTTAGCGTTATATTTTCTTAGAGACCGGTAGAGTACTGAAGATTAAATTTTAGTTGAAATTTTGTAGTACTTGACTCAATGGGTAGTGAGATTAACACTCGTCCCGTAATAGTTAGTGGCCTAGAAATGGTGAAATACGGCTTAGTGAAATGAGAGTCATGGGTCGCTTTTTTGACGTACCGTTTTGTGACCAGAATAGATTCTTTTTCCCTTGCGACATTATTAATTTTATTAAAATACGATTATATAGTTCAAGGTGCCCAAACGGACGTGTGTCAGGCGACCGAACTTCAATATACTTAGACTGCCGAACTACTCGTGAGTCTCAATAGCCATCACTGATCACACCGCACTCGTCACTCGATGAACGAGTTCAGTGTGCACCTATTTATGTGTAATGTGAAGTCTTTTGTTTTACAAAAAAACGAATGATACTACATTTACATAGTCGCAGGGATAAATTTTGGTCACAAAACAGTACGTCAATAAAGGCGACCGATAGATTCAGTTAGGGTCACTGCGTCCGCCGTCCGGCCTAGTAGAGGCCGCCAACTCCCTCTCTAGTCTCTAGTAGAGGCTCTCTAGAGGTATGACTGTGTAATTCTATTCTTTTTTTTCCTCGCGCTCTGTATGTAGTTCATCGTGGATTGGCTGTTGAGTAGTTGAGATTTTGAGAGTACACGTAAGAGTAATTTAGCACGAGTCCATGGAAATATCCATATTGAACTTTTGAAGTTCAGGTCGCTTTGGATCCGGGACCACTGGACGACTGTGATTTAGGCAACGGACATGGGTCGGGCGCCAAGCTGGTCCCCGTTGGTCTACACGAAAGTGGCGCACCAAAACACCCATCATGATTTTTCCAACGGTCAAGTAGTTTTGGCCGTTCAAGGAGCAACACGCCGACACCACAGCATTATCGTTAACGCTCGAACTTACGTCCGTTAAGTCTGACGCAAAAAAAGTTGCAACTATGTATGATGCACTCCGTATATATAGGGTTTGAAAAATACTTTAAGTTACCATTTCTATCCAAAAAAAATAAATGGAATTTTGGAAAATAAAGTATACAGTGTGAACCGTAATCACCAGAAAGCCATAGCGGCATAGCCGTCGTTAAAAAAAACGGCCAAATTTTGAGATGTCACTATTTATTTCTAGGTGTTGGGTTCCAATACGTATACGTTTATACCTGCAAATTTTGCACAATTCATGAGAAATGACCCTAAAATGACGACATGTAAAAAGTTATTTTTCTACATGAAATAATGAATTTTTTTTTAAATTCTGAGACTTGCATCGGCCTTATTGATGACGCGGCACGTCGATTTCTGCCCTCAAAAAAGTGTCAAATTTAAATTTTGAAAAACGGCCATATTTTCCAAAATCTGAGCAAGCCAAACCAATTTTGAGCCACAAATTTCAAAATGTGTCCGGGGAGATATTTCAGTAATACAGGTAATTGTGAGCAATTTCCGCCAAGTATCTTAACTCTATCGATCGGACCATGTGGTTGATGGTGCTATACTTGCTAGAAGTAGGGGTGATCCCAAACCCAATCTATAAGCGAGTGCACAATACTGGACTTGCAAAAACTGGTTTACACACGTACGTGTGTGTGAGTGAGTGTGTGTGTGTGTGTTTGTGTGTGTGTATGTGTGTGTGTGTGTGTTGTTGTGTGTGTGTGTGTGTGTGTGTGTGTGTAGTGTGTGTGTGTGTGTGTGTGTGTGTGTTGTGTGTGTGTGTGTGTGTGTGTGTGTGTGTGTGTGTGTTTATAAAGCAAACTAAATCTCTCGCAACTGAATACCTACTTGATACCAAGGTTGTTGCACTGTTCGCCCACACTGGCTCTGTCTCCGACATTATAGCTGTGGACAAGGAATGTCTTGTAGCAGACAATGAATCTCGCTGTACCGGATTGATCAATTAACCTGTTGTCGTATCAAGGTGGGACTGAGTATGGTATTCATATGTGCTTGGCATATATTAGAAACCAAAACAATATTGATTGTTCTCACAGGATATTTGATTATAAAAACCTAAAAAGGCTAGAATTTGTAATGTATTTTCGAAGTCATTTTTTTTTGTTTCCACAGTCATGATGAAGGTGATGATGCGTGAACCACTCATGACTCAAGCTTTGGTGATCTGATGACTGATGAAGTGGGGACATTTCTTCCATAGTGCCTTCTTCTTGTTGATAGACATTCCACAGTGCACACTCAGGGACCACGCTTTATTTAAAACACCCCAGCAACTTCTTTCTTATTTTTTACTTCATTAATATTTAAAACAAGAGGTGTGAATCTTATACTAAACTCGGTGCTCTACTACTAGCAGCAAAGAAAACTTGGGTCACATTTTTTTTTCTCGAAAAAGGTGGAGACAGAAAACCAGTTTTTTGTGTTCTTGTACCACCCACTCTCGACTTTTTAAATCACTGTGTGAACATCTGATTCTGGCAACTACTGAACGGCTTTTTTATATATTTTAAAAAACAAGCCTTCAGAAAAAAGAACACAAAAGGCTATGATTAAAAGAAATAAGTATAATTACACGTGTGATGGCGACGATTACATTCTTGTGTATGCAAAGTTGCAAACTGCAAGTCTACAATACATAATTTGTTTGCAAAATCAAACAGTATACGAGTAAGCAAGTGTATGAGTCATATATGATGCACATATATACAAATATATATATTGGTATATATATATAAATATATATACATATTTGTATATATATATAAATATATATATATATATATATATAT